TGTGTGTGTGTGTGTGTGTGTGTGTGTGTGTGTGTTGCTGTATTTGTCACGCAGTCTGTTAACAGATGTTTCAGTCTGTCTCTGACTGGAACTCCTCACCTCCAGATCAATGATCCCATCAGGTCTGGTTCTGATCAATGATCCCATCAGTTCTGGTTCTGATCAATGATCACATCAGTTCTGGTTCTGATCAATGATCCCATCAGGTCTGGTTCTGATCAATGATCACATCAGTTCTGGTTCTGATCAATGATCCCATCAGGTCTGGTTCTGATCAATGATCCCGTCAGTTCTGGTTCTGATCAATGATCCCGTCAGTTCTGGTTCTGATCAATGATCCCATCAGTTCTGGTTCTGATCCGTGTCAGAGGTGGTTAGCTGCCGCTCAGCAGCGACAGAACTCCCAGTTCTGCCAGCTTAGCTCTGGCCACGTCCTCCCAGCCCTTATTGGCCAGTGGGTTCCTGGGCGACGGATGCATAATGCCCTCGACTCGCACGCCCAGGCCCGCTGCAGACAGCGCCCGGCGCGCCCGCTGCTCCGCCACCCTTCCCACGCCGATCACCATGGAGACGCGCAGCGCCCGCACCGCCCTGCACAGCGCCGAGTCACACAGGGAGAGCAGGGCCTCCCGCTCGGCCGGGGCCAGCTCCGGGGGGGTCAGGTTCTTGCCGCTGGCGCTCATGAAAACCAGCGGGCACAGATTGTGCACAAAGCAGTGCTGGAAGAAGCGGGCCGGTTCTCCGCACAGCCTTCTGAAGAAGCCCCAAAACCTGGCACCGCTCACTTCACTCTGAGTGCACCTCAGACCTGAGATCCGTCGCTTTGGGTGCTCGTTGTCAGGACGGCCCACCTCACCCGAGATCCTCAGCCAGTCAACGACAGACCGGACCTCACCAAACGGGACCTGTGCAGGAAACAAATCACAGGTAGTGATGTCAGTGAAGTCATGTGATCAGTGACGTCCAACGCTTTGGTACAGACCAGTTCAGAAGCACTTTTACCACAAGAAAAAAAATTATATTATATATATATATATATATATTTTAAAGAAGTAACACTACATGTTGATAAGATACAATGATCTAACTGCAAACATTAACTGGCTGAATACATTAAGTCATGGAGGCAGACAACTGGCAGCAGACATTATTCCAAACGGTGTTGTGAAGTGTTTACAAATGTCAACAAGTCACAGGGACGCCATGGCCTGGCAACTTTTAAAGGTTTATTCATCAAAATTATTTAGTCCTCAAACAACCAGAAGTTTAGCCTTTCACCCACTGACAGACTGATAGACAGAAATGTCTGAAGATATTTAACAGATGTCAACTTGATGAAACTGTTCGTTTTGTTGTTTCAAGCTGCTTTTCTTACTTTTGACCACAAGGTGGCGCCAAACCTGAGTGTTAAAAGCTTCTAGCAATGAAGCGATTTTCAAAACAAGCTTTTCAGTGAAGCTTCGTTTGCTAAACACACACTTTTAAAAAAATTACATCTTATGCTTGTTTGTTTTAAACTTAAGAACTTATTGACCACATGGTCAGCATGATGGCAGGGGGAATGATGTCAAGAACATGTTCTGCATATTGTTCAACTGCTGTAATAGAAAATGGTGTTCAAAGTCTTGTTTTAACTCTTTTTTTTTAAAACTCAATTACAGTATTTTCCAGTAGTTGGTCCAGTGCGGACCAGAAATATCTAAGCAAACTTCAAATAGCTCAGAACCGAGCAGCCAGAGTCGATTTGACTCTTTGTAAACTGTGGAGACAAAACCAAAAGTCTTCTATTGTTTGTGCATAATAAGGTCATGATTGAAACACGTACATAATGGTTGGTTTGTGTGTACGCGCGTTTTTTGCTACATCGTGGGAACGATTTTCCAGAAAAACAGGCTTTTAAACCCGTTTCCGTGTGACGCTCACCCCGGTCTGCGCCATGCCGAAAGGTCCGGGATTCATCCCCAGAAACAGGACGCTTTGTCCGGGCTGACAGTACGTCTCCACGTAGCAGCGGTGGGTGTCCCAGGCGTACTCCAGCGGGTTGTAAACGTAGCGGACCGGTTCGGCGAAGGAGAGCTGGCGGAGATGGGCGTTCAGTTCCAGTTCAGCCTGCAGGAACTGGGAGGAGGYCGCCCCGAGCACAGACTGAACCTCTTCCTCCTGAGCCAGACCTGTTTCTGGTTCGCCTCGAGCGAGCGTCCGCGTCTCACTTCCGGCCGAGGCATCGTTAAACATGTTTTTAAGCGGTGCGAATTAAATAAGTTCGTATATTTCGAACCAAATGTGTCCAGATTCAGAGGCTTGGGTCCTCCGAGGGCCCAAATCGTCGGTCGGTTATGTTGCAGCACCGCGCCGGAGCTGTCTCCTCCGAAGCTGCCGACAAATGCGTCCTTTTTCCTGGATTTGAGGGACACAGCCGATGGAGCCTTCTCACCAAATCCCATAATGCATTGCGGGCCGACAGGATTAACTTCAAGTGGTTGTATTGGAAATTCTATGGAAGCCCATTTCCGCCACCCTGATAAAAAAAATAAAACTTGTATCTCATAATTATGACTTAGCTATCTCATAATTCATACAAGTTTTATTTTTTATCAGGGTGGCGGAAATGGGCTTCCATAAAATGCTTTTGTAAAGTGATATGATTTTAAATATTCTTGTCAGAAATAAAAACGAGCTGACATAGCAAAATAAACATGCACATGGTCCATTAGTTCTTCAAATATTGCCTTTAAGCTCATTTTGTTTTGTCACATTTTTCTCATTTTGATCTAATTTTGCTTCTGTTTAGCACCGCCCCGGTGGTTTGGCACAGGACGTGCACCGGCCGGTGTTCTGCCCAGAAATGCATCCCTGCCCAAAATTGCATCCCCCTGTCGCGGGAGCGCGCATCGCTCTAAAGTCTCGCATATTGATGAGAAAACAGACTGAAATATGGCTGAAGAGGACATTTTAAAGATATTTGAAACATTATCACGTTTCTTAACCATGTAATCCCTAAAATGGTGGGCTTTATTTCGCAAATTACTTGAAATAAATACYGTTTTTACACCTTTATTGACACATACTGTATGAGTCAAACTTATTTTCAGTCTGTTGAAAAAGTTCTCCACAAATGGTTTGAAATTCTCTGCTTTTTCTTTTGATACCACAATGGCTTAAAAACATTACAAAACAGAGGCCCATTGTGTAGAACATTTCATTAATTTTGTTAAAAGTGGCGTTAAACCCCTCACTTCCTAATCGCTGTGATGAAAGAACAGATTTTTTATGTTTAATGCAAATCAAAATTATTTTTAATAAACAGATTTGAAAATTTGTCTAAGCGCCTGTACCTGTTCTCAATGAAAACCCCAGGTCTCTCTTGTAAATGAGACAATGAGTCTCAAGAAATCTTCCTGTATAAATTAAGGATAAATAAAAATAAAAACAAGCACCTTTGCATGCATTTTATATTTTTTGCAGTTTTATTATAATTGTTCTCAGGAAACTTCAAGCTTTCTGCTTCGTTGATCAGCAAATGTGTTTGCTGTTGGACTTTGAGATGTCAACAGTTCAGAGAATTAAGGCTTCTCTCTGCTGTGGATTCTTTGATGAGCCTTCAGATTGTTCTTTCTTGCAAATCGCTTCCCACACTGGTCACAGGTGTAGGGCTTCTCACCAGTGTGAGTGCGTAGATGACCCAGCAGATGTGCCTTTTGTTTGAAGGCCTTCACACACTGGTCACAGGCGTAGGGCCTGTGACCAGTGGGAAAATTTACATGATCCAGCAGAAATGCCATTCGTTTGAATCCATTCCCACACTGGTCACTGGTGAAAGGCCTCTCTTCAGAGTTGTTGAGCTGCTGTTGGTTGGAAATCTCTAACGTGGAGCTCTCCTCGCTCTGGTCACTGCAGTGTGGTCCTTCTGGAGCTTCGACTGAGCGGATCAGCTGGTCCTCATCGAAACCACCTCCYCCTTTGTCTTCAGATCCGTCTGGACTTTTGCAGTTTTGATTCTGATACACACAAAAAAAAGAGGAAACAGTTCAGATCTGACGTGACAACAACTATCTCCTGAATCAGTTCACCTTCCTGTGTGATAAAAGCCAATCTGTTTAATTTCATGCAAGTCAAAAATAAAATGAAATATTTAGATTTTAAGGTGAATACTTTGTATAGATAGCTGATTTCAAGAGTGACTGAACACTTTATGTTGTTCAAAAACAAACAAAAACTTCTCCAGCCAACAGAATGTGCTGTGTGTGTTTTCTCCACACGTTCCAAACACGCTTACATTTGAAATGTGGTTCAATTTGAAATTAAATTGAGTCTTTCCAAAATGTTTCACAATTTTTTCTATAGTTCAACAGTTTTAAGTACATCTGACATTTCCTACCAACCAGTTTTTGTCATAGCGTTAAGATTGAACAGTGGTTTACCTCTGCCAGTCCTGGCATGGGGCTACTGGTGTCACTCTGGTCGTTTACTCGAAACTCCTCCATATTTGAATCCGCTTTAAGAAAGGAAACATAATAAGCACAAAAGCCTACAGAGCAATACAATGAAACTTAACATTCTTACAGCAGAAAGGACAAAAAAAAAAAAACAATACTGGCACAAGTATCGCTTAACTCTTCATTTAAATAACGGACCTCCCTTAGTAAAAAGAAAACTAACAGAATATTCTTGACATTGAAAATCACTTTTGTGTTCAGCAGAAAACTGATTCATAGTTAAGAACCTTTAATAATACAGAAAACCAAATAAAAGTAGAACAAAAAAATAACATTTTCTTACCAGGTGCTTTGTCGTCTGCACAGGTCTGTGGTCATGTTTGAAATGAATCAGAGATTAATAAATTTAACTAAAGCACATGATTTCCACGGTAACGGCATTTCTGCTCAAAATGCTCTGTTTCTATATGTTTCAAATCTAAACAAGAAGTTTAAACTCCTTCAAACCAATAATTATAAGGAAAGCATTTCATGATGGTGGTCAAAGGTGTACTAAACACAAACATTCAAATCATAACAACCAGTTGTAAACCTCCTGATAGCCCACCAAATAATAGTTTTTAAACATTTTTTTCACTGATAAATCTAAAGATGCTGCCACATCTATTTAGATTACAGTTATGAGTCCTTATATCTTCAGCTTTATAAAGAGGGGATGCAATTTTGGGCAGGGATGCGTTTCTGGGCATAACACCTGTCTCCAGTCTATTAAGGACCACCTAGGCCGGGTCCTTCAGAGGATCCAGCCTCTGAATTTGGACACAGCAGTCAGTCCGTCAATTAGGTTTAATCCGGGTAAAACTCATCTAACCTTTCATATAAGCCTTGAAGTAAATTTGAAATAAGCTCACATGTATTAATATTAAACAAAGCCCTACTTGGTCAAGTAAGTTTAAAAAGACTGAGCAGCTTTGTTAAAGAGATTAAAATATGCAGTTTATGGGGTCTATTTATAAACTTTGACAGATGACACCATCTACTTATGTTCAAATACTTATTTTCCTCTCAAATGTTTTAATAATTTTAGCACAGAAACAGTTCACCTGAAGACACAATCTATTTTAAAACACAAGTTTATACATGTGTGGGGCAAAAAGTAATAAAAGGTATTGGTTTTAGGAAAAAAGATATTTTTCTCTTCATCACGCTGATTTTTGATTGATTTTTGATTAATAAAAAAAAAAACAACTCCTTTACAAATTCTTTATTTTAGCATAATAGTAAGAAGCCTTTCCTCTGATTTTCATACAGTTGAAACTAATTGGATCACAAGGGTACATATTAGTAAGCCCATTTTACAATAATCATTGTAACATTGTTTTTAGGAAGTTATTCTTTATGCACTCTTTTCTACACAAAATAATCAATATCAAGATCCTGTCTTAACTGAGGACCATAACTCTGCATGCAAGACTAATAAAGAAAACAACTAATCCGTGATAGCTACTGTTATGCTGTTGTTCATCTAATACCATTATCAATATAATTTACTACAAATACCAGGGACTTTGTATAAGAAAAGCAAAACATTTTCCTGTGGTTCTAGTCCTAAAATGTCAAAATGACAGAACATAGTGGGCTTTCAACTGTACTGATCCAAAATTGTTCTGTTCACCTTCTGGGTCAAGATGGGCAGAAAAAAAAGGCTTTGTCTAGAAACCTAAAATCTAGCACAGATTAATGAAAAAAAAAATCCAAATCGTTTTTTTTTTTTGTCTTTTTCCATTCACTCCAGTGTACAATTTTGTAATAATTAAAAAAAAAAAAGGTCCATGAAATGATCAATAAAACATGATGAGACAGATAAGTCCTTCCATCTGCCTGGGCACAAAATAAAACTCAGTCTTATATAATACACAATCAACATTTCTATTGCATTTTAACAATAAGAATGATAATACTACAAAAATTATAKATGACAGGTTTTAAGTGACAAGAACTACAAACTGTATTGCCCTTTTGCTTCCCTCCTGTATGTGCACACACACACCAGCGGCGTCCCCTCCACAGACTGGGATTAGTGTTTCCAAAGCTAATTATTGCATTTCTTTAACCTGACCCTTTTTGTTGCCAAGTTTGAACTGCTATCAAGTCACTTATCTTTACATCATTTTTACAAAAACCCTCCTGTACATCTTGTAAAACTTCATTTTAAATCATTATTCTACTTCCCCCATAGTTTAATTCAGAACAAACAAAAAAAATAAAAGTGTGAAGCTCCAAATTTAGTAACAGACTTTAGAGAGCAGCAAAAAATTACAAATAAACTTATGATACATTTCCAGTTGGCTGTAGCTTAAGCTTCCAATTAAGCACCGACTCCTCAATTCTAATAAACAAACTCATTTGTAACAGGAAAGGGGTCAAAGTTTGAGAAATTCAACAAGAAGCAATGCAACTCCTATAAACCCGTCAGTTCATCACAGGTAAAACAAACCCTTCGTTAAACTCCCTCTGCTAACTTAAGGCCAAACCCACCGATGAGAGAGAGATCCAGTTTTACACACCGACCACAGAAACATCTGGATGAAAAGGCCATCATTACAGCTCGAGTGGTGACTCTGCTGGGGCCAAAGCACTACTGACTCCTCGAAAAGACTGACCAAAGTGCCACCGCTGACGTCTGTAAGATTATATATCGTTACAATGTTAACAGTAATGATGACGGAAAGATTTATGTTCATCAGATAACCTAACTTCTTAAAAGAAGCAGTCTGAGCGCCACTGAAGCCATCAACATTCAATAACTATGAAATAAAAAAAATATGTTGATGAAAGGCTTGTAAATAAATCTGATTCACAATAATAAAATAGCTGAAAATGACCAAAAAAAAAAAAAAAAAACATACTAAGGCCACAAGATTTTGTATACTGTTATCTTACAATGTGACAATCTGTACAAAAAAAAAAAAAAAAAACAGTAGGACTGCAAGTGGCCAACCTGCATCCATTTACATCAGGAACTTATTTATGGTAACACCAGGAGTGACTTTTTTTTTCTGCGACAGCACTGGAAATCTGTATTCATACACAGCAGGATGGACAGTAGCACAAACCCCAGCTTTTTTTTTTCTTTTTCTTTTTTTTGGAAAGAAACAATCGAAGAGCTGCTGTGACACACACCTCCACACCTGGTACATACAGGTAAATACAGGAAGGCCATCCACTGTCCAGGAAGTTCTGATTTACACACTTTTTTTGTTGTTGTTGAATCACACAGTTCCTCAAGTTCTTTCAAGTCTCAACTGCAACAGTGACAACGAGCTGTATTTGAACCAAAGTCCATTTTAAAGTATACTTTTGGCCCATTTTGTGCATGAAAGACCCACTCAAGTCTCATAGTTTAATTATTTACACAATCATTAAAACTGGACACTGGCCCTCCTGGAGATATAATCAAAACTGACGCATCAGCTAATTTAGCCTCAACCTTTTCAGTTCAATGTTCCTAATGAGCAGCAAAACTCTGGTCCATGAGACACACACGAAGAGTTTCTGCACTTGGAGCGAAAGTTCAGTTTTAATCATTTTAACCTGAGTGACAATTCTTTAAAGACAAAATGGGCCGTTTAAAAAAAAAGATCTGAAGCAGCTCAAATACTTTTCTTCACCAATTGTTCACAAATATGTAAGGACAAACAATAGCCAGTTTAATACCCCCCCCCCACCCCCCACCCCCAAGTACCACCAACTGATTTTTGTTAACAGTAAAAACCTTTTTTTTTTCTGAAAAAGGAAAAACGAAAGATTTAGTACAAAACAGGACCACTGTTCATCACAGAAATGTCTCAGCTTTAAAAAATAAGAAAGAAACGGGGGAGGGGAGGGGGGGAGGGACCACAGTAAAAAGTAAACTAAAAACAAAACGTCCCACTGTCGTCATCGATCCAAAGACCGGAGCTGTGAGATCAGTCTGTGCTAGAATGTGGCACCACCCAGCACAGAGGTGGGAGGAGGAAACCCTGTGTGGCTCGGCCCGTTTCCGATGGAGCTGTGGACGCGGGCAAGGCGGAATGTCAGACAGCCAGACGCCCCGGGGGAGGGTGCAGGGGGCTCCAGGTTGGGGGTGCGGGTGGAGGCTCCTGGGGGTACGGGCGTGGTTCGCAGCACGGCTGGTTCTCTACTTTGGGTACGCTGCGACCCTGGCACAACCGCCGATGTCGCAGCAGCCGGTCTGTGCGTGAAAAATTCTTCAGGAGACACAAATCCAACAAATAAATCAGGCCTCAGTTGGAGGTGGGGGGTGGGGGGACACAAATAAACACCAAACACTCTGAACAGTTCACATGTGTTTTAAATTAAAACTTGTGTTAATTTGCACAAACCTGCTGGCACCTTTCACACTGGTAAGGCTTCTCCCCACTGTGGACACGCTTGTGTCTCTCCAGGTGGTAGCGCTGAATAAACCTCATATCACACATGTCACATGCAAATGGCTTCTCTCCTAAAAGAGCACACAAATACAAAGTCAATGCATCAATTTTAAAGTCTGGAAAACAATAAACTGCGTGCAATTATCACTTTTTGTTTTTTGGTCCAGAATAACTTCCCAACACTTAGAAACAGTTGGAAAAATCTAATTTCCAAAACATCTTTCAGCTTCTAAAACCTGCTTCTCTAAAAGGCCTCGTCATCAACTCATTATGTGTAGATCAGAGTGGAATTTCTTATTGGCATGGCCCAGATCTACGCAACATCATGGTAGGCCCCACAAACTGGAGCGAGTTTTCAAGTTTTTAGGCTGGTTCAACATCCCATCAAATGATTTGACAATCCAAACTCGAGTTTGTCATGATCCTTCCAAGCACAGCTGCCTGTTCTCAGCAACAAGGGTACGGTGGAGGAACGCATACCCGTATGAGTGAGGCTGTGTCTCTCCAGGTGGTTACGCTGAATAAACCTCATGTCACACATGGAACAAGCATACGGCTTCACCCCTACACACACAGAGCAGTATATTAGCCCTAACACCCACAAGTGCAAGAAATACAAGTTTTAAGCTCAAGCTGAATTTTAACGGCTGCAAAGCTACTTTGTACTGCAAAGAATGTAATGTGTGTTTAATTAGAAATAATGTTATGATCAGACATGCAGCTAAATCATGAGTTGAACTGTGCAGAGGTAGTTTATATCCTAACAGAGGTACAGTACTGTGCAATAGTCTTAGTCTACTCATCTAATGTGCAAAAGTTTATTTCAAAGCTTGGAAAAAATATCTATATTTTAAGCTCATCTTGTAATTTATTTTGTAGTAAACTCATTATCAGATTATTAATTATTTTCCTGGCCTTTTAAGACATTACCATGTAAGTTTTTTTTGGATGCTGTCTGCACTTTTTTCCTGACATTATTCACAATGATCTGAACTGTTTTGTTAATATTTAGGTTCAGTGACTGTCTCCATGATTGCACAGCTGTGGCAATGTGTTTTATATCAGTGTAATGATTAAGAATACACAAACACAACTATAAAAAGACTGTTGACAACTGAATGCATTTCAAATGTTAATGACCAGAAGGTCTAATTTTGAGGAAATTACACCCCTACTTCCTAAATCCCAAACTATGCCAGACCTCCACCGTGTCTGATAGTCACTGCCGTAAGATCAATCTGAACTTTCTCAAAAATCCAAATAATAACCTGAATTTAATCTGTTGTTGTTTCCGAGATTTTTTTATATACTGGCATAATGCAAGCAGAAGCCACTATAAACAATAAATGGGTGGTGGTGGTGGTGGTGGTGGGGGG